CGGATGCAGAGTGAGAAGAGCATCCTGGATGAGCCAGACTCTCCTCTAGAGGTTTGTTTTTATAATATTTATAATCATATCATTACAGGTATTTTCTTTCAGATTTTTTACAGTTGTTTATTCTCCCAGGCAAATTGTTGGAGGTTTCCATATGTTATTTAATTCAGTACCATGGACAGCGACAATGATGGCAGGAATGGTTTTCAGCACTAGTGTTCCATGTGTTGCTTTTTATTTACATCCTTATTCCAACATCCTTTAAAGATATGATACCTTCATCTATGTTTCTTGATGCGAAGGTCATTCATCTCTTTGTTCTTAACGTCTTATTATTTGGAAGAATAAATTACTCATAAATTACTCACATATTTACTAAATGTGATTGATATCATCAAAACAATTTAAGTGTTTTGTGTTTTGCTAGTCTTCATCTTTTTATTATTTTATTTTTCCTGCTTATCATCATATATTATTAATTAATCAATACTTCTTACAATCAATTTCAATAGTTTCTATTTATTTGTTTTGTTGAACCTATTGAAATAGTGAATACACTGGTGTGCAACATTTTGATCTAAAATAGGTAAACTTTATGTTTTCTAGTGCTCTTTGCTCACAGGTCATTTTTTCCCAAACTCGTCTTTTTTGTTGGATTTTAACATAAGATGCATATTTGTGTGGGATAAATCAGAATCCGATACACTTTTCTTGTAACATGTTTCGTTAATTTAAATCCTTCCAAACTTTGATATTTGTTGTTATTGTTTTGAACAGTTGCTTAGTTATGTTGGCCTTTTGTCATAGTCTGTCCATTTCAGGACATTGGACAGCTATTTATTTTTCCATTCACCTTTACAGCCACATCAACTCAGTGTTTCATATTCTTAAAGGGCCAGACAAATAACGTATAAGTTAGATTACGAACACTATTTTTTCACTCTTGTTTTCATTCTTTATGGACTGAAGTCGTTTCATCAAGGATATCGCAGAATCGTGCAGAAACCTTTTGTAACAACGGAGTTGTCATGTTAAGGTTCTTGATAAGTATATTCCCTGGATTTGGATTACTGCAGTTTTCTACTGTGAACTCATAGGGCCGCTGTTGACCAGATTTTTAAAGGTGGAGGGTCCATTTATTGCAGCACCTCCCTTCTAATCTCGACATAATGAAGAAAAAAGACGACGAGGAAGAAGGGCGAGAAATAAGGGCATTTGCTTTTTTGACCAATGTTTGGTGAAAGATACGTCTACATTTCAATATATCCATTCTATGGACTGTGACGAAACTTTTTAATTCACCCTGGATTAGATAACACTTTTATGGAATATAAATACACTGATTCACACCGAAAATAAGCGGATAGAACAATGAGAAGGCAAGTAACGCTGTCTGTTTTACTCATCCTCGTCAGCTCAGTGCTTGGCCAGGTTAGCTACACTATTCCAGAGGAAATGGTGAAAGGAGCTTCAGTCGGTAACATTGCTCGTGATTTAGGTTTAGAAACAAAACGTTTAATCTCTGGAAAGGCTAGAATTTATACTAGAGACAGTGGACAGTACATCGAGCTGAACAGGCAGAGAGGCGTCCTCCTTGTAAAAGAAAGAATTGACAGAGAGGCAATTTGCAAACAGACGATGCCGTGTGCTTTACATTTTCAAATTATCTTGGAAGATCCAATGGAATTCTATACAATTACAGTCCAGATCAACGACATTAACGACAATGCACCATCGTTTAAAAAAGGTGAAATTGTTTTTAAGATCAGCGAGTCAGCAGTTATCGGGGCAAAATTTGTGCTCGAAAGAGCTGTGGATCTTGATGTTGGAGCGAATGGTGTTCGTGGATATGAATTAAATTCAACAAAACATTTTGCTTTGACTTTGCAAAATGATGCTGATGGTAATAAAAACGTGGAGATGGTTTTACAGAAACCTTTAGATAGAGAGAAAGAAGAGCAGATATCTCTCGTGCTAACGGCTGTAGATGGAGGAGAGCCGCAGATGTCCGGAACAATGCTGATTGTCGTCACGGTTTTAGACGTTAATGATAATGCTCCTGTTTTTACACAGAAAACATACAAAGCTACAGTTACAGAGAATTCACCTACAGGCACCGTCGTTGCTACTGTTACTGCATCAGATGCAGATCAAGGAGCGAACGGTAAAATAACCTATTCGATTACGAATGCAGTTGATGAGGACCGAACATTATTTAAGATTCACAATGAAAACGGAAAAATAACGTTGATTGGAAACATTGATTTTGAAGAATCCCAGGACTTTCAAATAAATTTACTTGCACGTGATGAGGGAGGACTCACCGATTCAGCTAAATTAATCATTGATGTGCAAGATGAAAATGATAACAAGCCTGAAATAAACATAATGTCGAAATCAAATGTCATATCGGAAAATGCTAAACTGAACACAGTTGTTACAATGATAAACATCGAAGACTTGGACTCAGGAGAAAACGGTAAAGTCAATTGTTTCGTGAATGAAAATATACCTTTCATTCTCAAATCATCAACAAATAATTTCTATAGCCTCGTTACAGACAGTGAATTAGACAGAGAGAGAGCCTCTGAGTATAACAT